CCCTACTTGCCTGTAGGATCAACATCATGGTGATGTAAGGCAATATCTGTAGAAACTTTCGTGATTCTTACTTATTATGCCATTCAAAAGCTCATTGTAACTCTAATATCATGTTTTTGACCAAATCCAGGGGTCAGAACCATTGCAGCTATATTGTAATCTATCCTTTCTATGCCAAGCTACCTCTTTTTGATTCAGATGGTTAATCTGTTCAAATTTTGTAAACATTACTTTCTCTCGCCGAAAATCAGTAGATGTAGTTGAGTTTGTTTTCGACCCCAAATTTATTGAGAAGATAGGGGTATGTTTGTCGTTTGTGTGCTTCTTATCTACTAGGATCCATCAATTCTCATTGATTTGAAATGGGTAGGATACTTATCAATTCTCATTGATTTGAAATGGGTAGGATTCTTATCTCCATATCTCTACCTGTGGGGCAAAATATCTAGAATACAAATGGATTGGAAATCACAACCTTCAACCAATTGGCAGTTCATACTATTTTGTTTTAGAATAATGCTATGTAGCCTCACTGGATTAAAACCCCAATCTATGCGGCGTTAATGTGGTATTAAATTATAGGTGAGATTAAATGTCATTTAATTTCACATTTTATTCAGCCTATTATCTAGCGTTACTAAGATTGAGGTTGTAACCTCAATGAGGCTAAATAGCATAACTCTTTGCTTTATCATTTGGAAAAAAGTGCGTGCAGATTTGGACATTAAAATGTGTTTTTGGTCAACTAGATCCTTCATTCGCTGGATGCATTGCTTGCCGAGGAAAAAAATTGAGGTTCCAAATATCTAGGTTATATGTCAATTTTCGGGGTTTTTGTTTGTCCTTTTTTCTTTGCCCTCTTGCATTCCTAGCAGTCACCACGTGCTAAAAAAAATAAAAAAATAAAAGGGAAGAGCTAATATTTTTCCTAATGTAAAACTCTGAAATTTGAGTCTCTTACGTGGGAATAAAATGGTAAAGAGATCATATTGGGGCAAAGTTGATAGAATAGGTAAATTGTTGCATCAACTAAAATTCTCAAGTTTATCGTGCTATTGTGAATTATGCTTGTGTTGAAAGACAATGTCTAGGCTCAACTCTTAAACATCTTAGCTTGGATCGGCCATGAGGACGAGCCGAGCCGGAGATTGGCCCATGTTCACAAGCAATGCTCAGCTTGGCCGTTTAGCCCATGTCGACATGAGCCAGCCCATGGACTGGCTCATTTTTTACTTTATTTAAAAAAAAAAAAAAAAAAATG